GCGCCTGTCCCTCCCTCCCTCCCTCCCTCCCTCCCTCCCTCCTTCCCTACCCCTTGGCTCGCAGCAGCAGGTTGCCGATGGCGATGGCCTGCTCCTCCGAGGCTACACTGGGAAGTTTTCCGTCTGCTTTGCTCAGCGAGTCCGTGGTCAGGTATTTGATTAGTTTCGTGCCTGGAAAGGAAGGAATTGGGAGTGGAAGGTCACGGACAGCGCAATTGTACCATTGTTCTTGCTCCTGCATTTTGGACGCCCTTTACAGACTTTTCGATGGCCTCAAGGAGATTCAGCACACGTCCTTGCTTCTTGTCTTTTCTCGTCCCCTCCCCCCTCTTACTACCTTTGAAGTAATCCACACGAGTCTCTTGAAGGACTCCGTTTCGGATTTTCATTGTCCGCCGCACCGTGTCTGCAAGTTTGTGGAGTAATTCCGGATCTTCATACGCTCCCGCTGGCCCGTCATGAGTAGTGGCAGTTGTCGCGGCGCCCGCAGACGCAGGGGGGGTGGACTTCGCGTCATCTGTGGCCGCTGGAGCACTCATTGCGAACACTTTTGTGGGGGCGAAACAATGCAACTTTACAAGTGATAAGGAATTACCATCAGTGTCTGCAGAATACTTCTACGGGTGGGGCATAAAGGCCTGGGTGGCTCCTATTTTTGGCACAAGAAGGTGGACGGCAGACAGACAATCATCATGGTCAGGTACCCTCATTCCGCCAAGGCTGGCATTACGGTCGTCAAATCCACGCCTTTACGCGTTACCAAGCACGACGCACCCCTCCACCACCTTTTCTACATGCCTGTCAACCTATTCGCGCGCGTTACCGCAGGTCGAGTCTTTCATAAGGAAGGGAAATCGTGTCCTAATGTGTGCCTCCCGGGGAGTGCCGGGGCGGGCGAGGAAGACTCGCTTTTCCAGCCATGAGCCCCCGCACCAGGATACAACCCATGCTTCCAGTTGCACTTTTTGCCCGGCCTTGAAGTCGTGCCTCCCCACTGTGTACCTTGCCTGCTTTCCCAACCGTTCCTGCGACGCTGATCTGCACAGATTGGGTCGCAAGGTGGGTTTGTTGGGCATGATCGTGCTTGGAAATGCCCCAACGAGGTTTTCGCCCGCCTCCCAGGAGGGTCCAACCCCGTCGAGATCATCCCTCCCATAGTCAAGCCCCTTGATGCCGGCTCATTTATTCTTCTCTTTACCCTTTCTCCCCTGTTTTCAACACGTCGTAAATTCATCAACAGGAAAAAAATCTGTTGATGGCATGACCTGGGGTACTAAGGTTCCGTTTTGGTCTGCCATTCCTTCATTGACAAGAAATATCGCCTACCACGGATAGGAGCTGCCGCTTCTATTGCGTAGCTTTTTGCATCACCTGTGACTCAAATCCTCATGATAAACACCTGTAAGAGAGTTCGCTGGCTTCTAATAGGATTGATAGGCTATCTGGAATGGAGCTGTTGTCGAAACAGAATAAGAAACCAGACAGCGGCCTTTTCTTTCAAGCCTCACCCGTCCTGGAGCGGAGCCAATCTCCTGGAGGGAAGTCGGGTGACGGCCTTCTTCTTTCATGCCTCACGGCATTATAATTTGAATCAGCAAAAATATTCGTATAGACTGGTAGCAGATGGAGGACCGCTTGCCTTCTCCGCGTTGACCTCGGGGGAGGGCGCCGGGTCGGGGAGTAGCAGTAGCAGCAGCAGGAAGGATAGCAATAGTAGCAATAAGAGGAAAGTGACAGACAGGAAGCGCACCAGCGGTAGCGATGACGAAATCATGGGCACGGGTCGTAGAGATGGAGGCCAGGGCCAGGAGCAGCATGTCCTTCCCTCCCACCACAAGCAGCCCCCGCATCCGTCTCATCGGCATCAGCGACAGGAGGGATGGGGCCATCGGCGATGGCGGGAGGCTTCGGAGGGGCGCCAGCGGGGCGGGGTGGGAGGAGCGGGGCAAAGTCAGTGGCCTGTGGGAGATCTGGAAGACGTGACGCAGCTTCGCAACTTGGAGCGGACGGTGGAAGAGATCACCGGACCCTTGGATGCCACTATGTGTCGCGGCGCCTTGACGGCCTGCTCGCGCCTGCACCAGCCCGACAAAGCCGCCTGGATCATCGAAAAAATGCGCGAACGCGGTCCTCCCCCGGACGAGACTTGCTACGCGACGGCGATCGACACCTGTGCCCGCAAAGGTCGATGGTCGGTCGCGGTGTCCCTTTTGTCGACAATGCGGCACACGGACGGATTGGCGGTGGAAAACCCGACATTCGCCGTGGTTATGGCCGCCTGCCACCGGGCGGGGCAAACCGAACGGGTCCTGGCCCTCTTGACGGAGATGGAGGAGGCAGGGACAGGGGGAGGGAACCGGGGAGGGGCGTACGCCACGGCCGTCCACTCTACCTTGGCCTCGAGAGAGTATGGGGAGATGCTGCGGGTGCTGGAGCGGATGATCGCGCAGGGTTTGGACGTAGAGGAACGTCTTATCCACCTGGTGATGGGCGATTTGGTGCGGGAGGGTCGCTGGAAGGAAGCGAAGGCCATGCTGGACCTCGCGCGGCGGGCGGGGAAGTTAACGGCCGATATCTACGTGAAGGCGGTGGAGGCCTGCGTCCCAGAGGGGCAGTGGGCGGAAGCCTTTCGACACTTGGAAACCATGCACCAGGAAGGCTTTCTCAGGCACGTCCGCGTCCCCCTCGATGGGGCGACCGCCTCGACCATGACGCTGTCGTCCTCCCCTCCTTCTGGACCTGCTGCGTTGTCCTCTTCTCGTCCGTACTCCTCTCCCGGACTGGACACGACTGCCCCCGGCACTCTAGCAAATTACGGCAGTGGGGGCGCTGGCGCGAGCAGCAGCGGGAGCCTGAGCTCCAGCAATGGGTTGCCCCACCACGGGGGGGCGGGGTCCACGGGAAGCAATCCTCTTCCAATGGAAGCCAGCGAAGCCGCCTTCCGCGGCGCCATGTCCGCCTGTCGACAGGCGGGGGACATCGAGCGGGTCTTCTCCCTCCTGGACCTGCGGGACAGCTTGCTCGACAAGGACCTGGCCGACTACGGGCATGGCCCAGACCCCGGGAGGCGGCAGGAAAGGCGGACCCCTTCCATGGAACTCTATACCCTTGCCTTCGCCACGTGCTTTGAGCAAGAACGCTGGGACGCACTGCCCATCCTCCTCAAACACATGGCCGGGCACGGGCGCCGTCCCGAGTCGGTGTTTTTCGACGAGCTGGTCCGGGTCTTGGCCACCTCCCCCACGCGCCGACCCTCCCAGACCCTGGCCAGCCAAATCTCCGCCTTGCGCCGCCTCCCCTTGAGCCAAGCCCAAGAGGGAGGGACGGGGGTCTCGGTGCCCTGTTCCTCCACCCTTCTCCTGGTCTTCAACACGGCCATCCATGCCTGCGCGGCGGGGGGCGATTGGCGGCTGGCCTTGGACCTCCTCCACGAGCTGAAAGGCGAGAAATTACGGCCGGACTACTACTCTTTCCAAGCGGCCATTGCCGCCTGCCAACGCGTGGGCGAGTGGGAGCAAGTCTTGTCCCTGCTCCAGGAGATGGAGGCGTCGGGGTATCCCCCGACCCTGGCGTCCTACGAGGCGGTCATGAACGCCTGCTTGCGCGCCCAAGACTGGCCGCGGGTGGTGGAAATTTTGGAGGGAATGAAACAGGTAGGGGTGAGTCCGGATGCTCATTTCATCGAGTGGATTTTGAAGGCGTTGGCGAGCCGAGGGCAATGGCGCCAGAGCCTGGAGGTGGTAGAGTCTTTGAAAGGAGACCGAAAGAAAGGCGGGAAGGAGGGCGGGAAGGAGGGCGGGTTGTTGAACAACGTGGTTTATAACCTCGCCATCAAGGCCTGCGACGCGGGCGGGGAATGGAAGGCGGCGGTGAAGCTGGTGGAGGACATGCGGGTCAAGGAAGGCATCCGTCCCGACCTGTACTCTTTCAACACCGCCGTCTCGGCCTGTCAAAAAGCCGGCCAAGTCGTGCAGATCACGCGCTTGCTCGGGCGCATGGAAATCTTGCAAATTCGCCCCAACACGTACACCTTTATCATGGCCACGGCCACCTGCCTGCAGACGGCGGCCTTTGACAAGCTTTTTGAGGTCTTTGCTGCCATGGAACGGTGTGGGTTGGACCCCGACGAACGGTTTTTCCGCGTCCTTCTCCAGAAATTCGAGGGGGAAGGCCGGTGGAAAGAGAGCATCCACCTCTTGCATGTGATTCGACGGGCGGGGCGGGCCAGTCAGGTGAGGTCCTTCGGGACAGGGCAGGGGGGGAGCCGGGCGTAGGAACAGGGAGTGGGAGCATCGGGGTCGAAAGGGAGGGGCGGACGGGAGGATCCTGCCCGAAAACGGGCGGGACGGTGGAGGGAGAAGTGGAGTACCCCGCAATGCAGGCGTGAAATGTGTCTGACCCGTGCTTGTCGCAGGCAGGTGATCTAGTTTTCCTTCTCTTTGTCCCCTCTCCCCCACGTCCCCCCCATGTGCATGCTCCCCTTCTTTAGCGTCCCCGCCCTCTCCCCTTATGCCTAACTACCAGCCTCAGTGCCGAGCTTCGTCTCTATCATTGCCTGTCCATGTCGCCCCCTGATTCATTCCCGTGCCGCTTCTCCCCACTGTCCTACCACCTGACCGACAACCTCCCCCCCCCC